GAATACAATAATTGTTAAATACAGTCACCACGTTGTTTTGAACTTATTCCCCCTGTGTAACTAAAATTTTGCATCCTTCAACCAACACGGCCCCAACCCCACCCCCAGGGATCCTCTACGCAGTCGGCCCTGCGCACCCTCGGGTTGGCACCCATGGTGGAGAGGGCAGACTCCCCACACAGACTGTGCTGCGCCATTTACGTAAGGACTTGAGCATCCGTGGATTGAGTCTGGGAAAATTCTAAACTAGGCATAACCAAATAACCAGTCTAGTTAATAAAAAATCTCTCTAAGATCACACAGACCCACCGGCTTTGAAGAACGTAACCTTCCGGTATAAAATATACACCTAGGTAGAGAACGATGGGAGTATTAACTGAAAAATTTAAAAGTCGGCAAAATTTACAGTTTGTTTTTGGTTTAGAACCTTCTGTTCTAAGAGTTCATAGGTCGCTCATTCATTCATGTAAGCAGCATTTACTGAGAGCTACTAGGGCAGGCACTGGGCCCTGACCTCAGCAAAGGAGGTAATAAGACAAGGTAAACCGGAAAGACCAGGTCCTGGCCCCAGCCCGCGTTCTGACAGGGCAGCGAGGGTGGGAGCTGGCAACTCCGTCAGCAGATAACTTAAAATAGTTAAAATACATAGAAAAGACTGCTAAAAGGAGTAACAGGAACAAGGGTGATAACAATCACAGCCATCATTTACACAGCTCTTGGGAGGTGCCAGGTGTTACTCTTAAGTGTCACTGGAATTCATTCACCCTATGAAGTTCACAGATGCGGAGACCAGGCCCAAAGTCACCTGGATGATCAGTGGTAGGGCCAAGACGCGAATGCAGGCCCTAGCTCCAGGGTCCAGGTGTGTGCAGTCCAGCAAGTGGCAGGAGGCGTTACCACAGACAAGGCGAGGGGGAAAGTAGGTCGGGAGTGACATCTGCGATGAGACTAAAGACATGAGAAATGCAGCCCTGCTTTCTGGCAGTAACTAAGGAGTAGGAACAGCTGTCTGTTAGGCCACTCCTACTTCATGCCATCTGCACATTATATTATCTATAGCAGAGGACCAAGTTGCTAAATAATTTTTTTGTTGCTGGAAAAATTGAGTGAGTGATATTTCAAATAAATGACTAAGAATCAAAATAAAATGAGAAACTTAATGAAAATTTATAGTTCACCATAAGCCTACAATATACAATTATGTCTGAAAAACATCTAAAATCCCATCTTTAGCATTTACTTCATTCAGACTTTTTGCTTGCTAAGAATCATGTCATCCTTGTTCAAATGACTGTTAAACTTGCATGAGTCAGCTCCAAATTCATGGGGTTAAAATCTTCCATTGTGTTTTATAAAAAACTGGTGTTCTTGAACAAAAAAAGAATCAGGCTACTAATTTCTTTTTTTAACTGCATTCAGTCCTTCACAAAAACACCCTTTTATACATATCCTGGCATGGTGTCTTCAAGAATTCCCTCGGGCTTCCCCACAAAACTCTTAACCGTTACTACTTTCTAGTTTACTTGAGTGAAGGAAGAAGAGCCTGTCTCCTCTGAGGCCTGACCAGAGAGGGGTCTGATGAGAGTCTCCAGAGAAGGGTGCCTGTGATCACAGCAAGAGAGCCCTCATCTTACGAGCTAGACAAGGACTCCAAGGTACAGAATTCAGGGCCATTTATACAGCTTTTCTTTCCCCTACTCACTTCCCCAACCAGATTCTCCTCCATGCAAGCCTTAAAAGAATTCTGTGCTTTACTTTAATAAGCAAAGTGTTTTGTTTTAATAAGAGGAGATTTGTTTGCAAGTCAACACATCACCATCTCTGTGCTATCGCCTCACCCCAATGCACGTGGAGACTGTAGTCCACGGTTTCAGGATGCTGAGGGAGAACAGGCGACTGAAGACGGGAGGGCGGGCAAAGCGTCCCAGCAGCGTCTCTCACCACCTCGGTCCTCCCACTTAGTTCTCTCTTGACCCACTTCCAGTGCTTAGCTCCTTTCAATCTACCTTACCCGCCTAACTCCACAGCTCCGTGTTTGAACCTCTGACCCAGAGATTCTACTCCAGGTCCACAGACCTACCCCCAGGCCCACCCTGTTTAGCGTTTCTGCCACAATCACACTCCTTGGGCATTTCCATTGCCAAAGCCGACCAGTAGGAGTGAAGGAGGAGTTTCCGTTTCCCTCGTTACACACGGTGGTGAGGCTCTTTTATTTGATCACTACTCTACTCTACTCTCACCTACTCTGGGTTACGGTCTCATCTGAGTTCCACACCACTATGCATAAGACATGGTGGTGCCAGACCCTTTGAGACATATCATCCCATTCGATCTTCTCAAAACTTCTGGCAGGTAACAGTTTTTGGCAACACAGTGAAAAAAAAAAGCAAAAGCACCTAACACTGATGGAGATTTCAGTGTTTGTTTACAAGATATAAGAAAGCTATTTACAAATGAATTTTTGTAACACAGGCTGTCTTTATATTGGAGACTATCTGGGCCCTAGCACAGGCCAAATACGAATCAGTTTACAGAGCAAGAGAAAGACCATTATGCAGGAAAAAGCCTCAGTTTTTGATTCCTGTAGTTTGCGTTACCACATCTGAGACTGCCCTGTAAGACAGTTTACATTATTGAAATAGTTGAATTTTTGACAGGTCGCTATTGAAACCTGCCTCTGCTTTATTCCCCAAGGGCTTTATTCCTCTGCTTTATTCCTGCTGGCGGCGCTGGTGCTGGCGAGGTTTCAGCCCCAGGCCCTGGGCATCGTCTCTGATCGGCATCACTCCGCTCAGCCCCCAGCCCAGCCCCTGTGCTCCCCTGGGAAGCAGCCCCCTCTTCTCCCTTTCTGGGCAGCTTCCTTGAGGACAGAAACTTGAAAACAAACCAAAACCAAAGTTTCTGGCCACGTGTGGCTGGAGGGTCCTGAGTGTCCTTCTCTCTCCAGGGCAGGCAGGACTGTCAGCCCCCACACTCCCGGCTCGTGCCCCCACCCCCACCAGGCCTGCCCCGAGCCTCCGCTCCTCTGGCTCCCCCGCTGGAGGAAACAAACCACAGGCCATGCCGCCATTAAATGAGACAGGCCATGGGAAAAAAAAAAAAAAAGGTGTCACGAATGCCCAGATACTCTGCTCCCTCCCAGGAACTTCATTCTGCTGGCCTGACGTCAAAGAAGTGTTCACAGGCTCCTAGAGAGAGAATCTGTTTACCATATCTCAAGTGGTAACAACAGAAAAAAATATTCTTAACTCTCTGGCAATCCTTCCTGTACATTATGTATGTAATTCTGGTGTAAACGAGGAAAATGCTCATTTGATGCTTGAAAGAAAAGAGGCAGAAGAATAAAAAGACTTTCCACTTGGGCAGAAGTTCATCTTTTCAACTTAAGTCAGAGTAAATAATCTTAATGACTCAAGTGACTCTGGACTTGCATGGGTGGATCTTTTTGCGCCTATCTGTGCAATGCTACACCCGCCCAGTAACGAACACATAGCCATCCTGCGCCTGCGTCACACCAAGTATCAGCATGCAGTACTGATAATACCTAACAAGTCATGACAGGCTTTCATTACTAACCTTGCGCGTACCCATGCGCTTCCAAGTAACCATTCAAATACTTGGAAATGCTTGTAGTTTTCCATGACCCACAGTCAGAATACATACACGATGTACAGGAAGGACTGCTGGAGAGTTAAGGAAGTTTTTTTTTCTGTTGTTTACTTTCAAAGGAGGAAAAAATTATTTCAATAAATAGGAACAACTGAAGGGTATGGATAAAATTCAAGACTCATACATGGTTTGAATTACTTTCCCATGGATGTACAGTAGTCAAAACTGATTTTTTATGAAAACTTTGGCAATCTCACTGTGTACAGAGGAAATTGAGTGCTGGCTACAATGACACAATTTGTCACTTTAGTTTTCAGAATCATGCCAAAACAAATGCCTCAGATAGAAAGATGGCAAAATTATGATGGTAATTTTTCATTTTTGCATGCTTGAGATACATGCTTTGATATTTTAAACAACAGAATTACTTTCAATTCCCCAAACAATCTGCACTGTCTCTTACTTCTGGCTTTTGCACACGCTGGTCTCCCTGTCTGGATGTTCCTCCTGCCACAAAATGTACCTTTTCTGTTTGTCTTGGTAACCCCTATTTATCCAGCACACAGATAGACATATCCACTACGACCTCACTTCTTCCCAGAAGCTGTCTGTGACCTCACGTAACCTTGTATCATTGTTTGGGCTGTGCTTCCTTCTTTGAAAATGCCTTCAATTTTGTTTTCAGCAAGAAACTCTTAAAGGACATTTAGTTTATGATACATGATGTAATGAAGGTCTACTGTAAATTGTAACTCCTTAGTTCATTTTTACTTAGTGTTATTTTTTAAAATAATGCAACGATGTTACTTTATACATATTCTCTAAAAAGATTTCACTGTGTCAGGATTGGCCAGGAGCTTTCTGAATGAAGCTGATTATAAAGAGAGGAGGGGGCTAAGTAGTTGCTGGGATGGGATGGAGGGAGATTCATTTACTTATTTATTAAATGTTTAGTGAAGGCTACTCTGCGAATCACTATTCTGGCTCTGATGATGTGGTAGACAGCAAAAGAAATAAGTAAACAAATAAACAAATACACTAATCTCCCACCCTACTTCAGAACTTTCTCGACTTTCTGCTCCCAAAGCTGGTAAATGGAATAGAAGACCCGGATGCAGCGTGGGTGACTGGCAGTAGGCGCACAGTAACACCTAACAAGACACAGGAGTGCTTTTAGCAGGGAGACGAAGTAAAGCCTTTCAAACATTTCATAATCTTCAATAATTGTAGGATAAGATGGAGGAGTTCTTCCTAATCCCTCCAGTGATCCGGAACAGGGCACTCCTGGTACTTTGTGTTGTAAAGGACTTCTTAATACTTGGATTGCATAATTAAGATTTATTTACTAAGCTGAAGACCAACGTGGTTCAAGTTTCTGCAGACTCACTCACCTCGACGTACGAAATCGGAAATATCCCTATTCTGTCTGCCAGCACTCCTTCAGCCCAGTTTTCATCCACTCTGCGGATCACGGTCAGAACGTCATCCTGGAGAAACAGTAAATCATCAGTCCACCTCATCCCACTGTGCTTACTGTTTAATTCTTCTTTCTAATAACTCAAGTTTTAGGAGTATATGAATAAAAATTCGATGACATATCTTTAGTACATGAGTTCTATGTTTTCATGAACTAAATGGTGACAGCCAACCTGGTGTCCTTTCAGACAGCAGCAACACTATGAACTCCCTCTACCCAGGGGCTGGCTGCTTATCTTGGTAGTGCACATATACAGCTAATATAGATCTAGATTATGTCCAAACCTAAAAACTGCAATCTCAAATGCCACCCATCCCTGCCTCTTGAATTTCTGTTTTAGATCGATTCTCAGATGCTTCTTACTTTCTCTCTGATAACACACCAAATGCCCATTAAAATGCATATCCTACTGCTGTTCTTTACAAAAAACACAATATTCTCCTTAAAATTCCAAACCATTTTATCAGTTCAGTAGATATACTCCTGTGTGCTTTAAAGCAAAGGAATTTACATATAAAATAAGGAAGTAATGATGTTTCGTTTTGTTATCCATAATTCAGTACTTTAAAATCCCTGAGTGACAGACACACACCCTTAAAAGTAGCTTAGAAATAAATTTAGGCTCTAAATATGAAAATGATACCACATACAGCATCGACCAAAACTATCTCTCATATAAGAAGTCTGTGCACAAAATTGCATTCCTTGTGACTTAAAGACTGCCTCTAGGTATTTTTAGCAGCACAGTGAGACAGTTCACACAAAACCGCTGCATCTTTCTACAAAAGGAAACACAAGCCATATTCCCGTGCACCCAGGTGCAGAGGAAGAGCTGGCAAACTGAAGCAATCGCATCCTAACCTCACCTTTGCGAAGGGAAGGCAATCCTTGTCTGCTTCCTTGTCTTTCACTTCAAAGTCATAAAGTGCTTTGCACTGAGGTGGGGGCTGAGGTAATGGTTTAATAATCTGCACAAAGTTGGTGGGGAAAAAGCCATGGATCCCGTTGACTTCCCCATGGTACCAATTTTCATCCACTTGTCGTCGCAAAATGATGATGTCACCTTTGCTGAATTTAAGGTCTCCAGGCTCTTTTCCTTCGTAGTTGTATAATGCTTTGGCACATGGTAACTGAGGTATACCCTTAAAGAAAGAGATAAATTTTAATGAAAGAACGGTCCAAAAATGTCTCTGAAAATATAACTGTATTATCCCTGTGTTTAAGTCAAGGTGAAATCCACACTTTGCCCCTTGAAGAAAATCTCACATAAAAAACTACGTATGTGCACTACCAATAGCAAATACAAAACAAATGTCCACAGTGAGACAAGAACAGCAGGATATCCGTGCACCAGCCACGACGTAGCCTTCTATCCCTAAGTGTAACCTAGCGGGGGGCTTTTGGCCTTGCTCGTTCGAGGTTATTAGTATCATACATGAAAGTGTGGCTGCCGAGTCTGCCTCTCCGGTATGAAATCCAAGAACTCACAGAAAACAAACTTAACTTCCTACATCAACTACTTTGTTCATTAGGACAAATTAAACACTAAAGAAAAAAATTTAAACAGAAGCACATTTCATTGATTTACTACCTGTACTTAAGTTTGACTGATAAAAATCAGAGTTTGACCTTTAGACAAACCTTTTCCTGATACTGTTTTTAATGTGGGCAGATCATATTCTCTCATGAAACTCAACAAGTATTTAATGAGGGTCTACTCTGCGAGAGTCTGGAATACGGCAGCGAGTGAGACGTCGCAGTCCCTGCCCTCTCAGAGTTTATAATCTGTAAGTGTACAGACACACAGTCTTTTACAGTCTAAGATCATTCAACTTTGTTCTCTCCTGGTTAGAGAGCACTCTTAGGCTGACAAGCTAAGAGATGAGGTATTTAATGTCACTACATTGCATTGTTTTAAATGACAAGTTTAAAATTGTGGGTGCACCCCTAAGGCAATTTAATCAAATGGATTAAATGATACTTCCCAAATGTATTAGGGGTGCCCATTCTTGAGCACTAGTTGTCACTTTAATATCTCTGGACTCTCTGGGCAATGCTGCTTTCATTGATTCAGAGAATAAATGGCAAATCAAACATGTCTTCAATAATCCAGTGAAGGGGATTACAGAATACCTGCTTTTTGTGTCCTTATTCCTTTATTCATTAGCGAGAAAACATTTATAGAGCTTTTGCTTTTTACCAGGCAATATGCTAGTGCTGAGGATGTCAAGAAGGAATAAGGCACACGTGTTCCTTAAGGCATAAGACATTAGAAATGATTATAATACAGTGTATTAAATGTAATGATACAGATACGTGCACTATTTATGGGGGCGAAGAACACAGATCTCTGGGGTTTGGAGTGGGGAAAAAAACACTTCCTGGAGGAGGTGACACACGAGCCAAGTCTTACAGGATGTGCGGGAGTTAGCCAGGCCAGGCTGGAGTGGAAGAATAAAAAAGTGAGGGCACTGCATGCAGAGGGGACAGCACCAGAGAGAGAAGTTGCGTGTTGGGCAGAGGGACTGGGCGTGTGAAGACTGCGGCGTTCCCGCACAGGAATTACGGAACGTAACGAATAGGAGAGAGACAGAGGCCAGTTTGGGGAGGGTCTTGAAATGACGTGTGAAAGAGCTTAAACTGCTGTGTCCTTCAGGCAACAGCAAGTCCCTCAGGGTTTGAAGCACAAATGGGCGTGGCAAGACCCACGTGTGAGGAAAATGGACGCGAAGAGGGCAGGCAGGCAGACAGCTATGTGCCAGGCATAGGCCTAAACCAGTTGAATTTTTATTTTTTACAAGTTTAATCTTTCCAATAAAATAGAGCAATAGTTAGCAGCATGACTCATATCACTCCCCCTGCCAAAAGAAACAAAACAAAGTAGATCAAAGCTTTATACCCTTGGTGGCAACAGAACTTCACAATACAGTATTCGACAATTAGTGTGGACTCTAGTTGGAGATTTAGAGTCTGGCCTACCTATAAACCAAACTTTTTTGTTAAATATTTTTGTTTAAGAATCGTAATTCTTGCTCGCAAAATGCTCCTGGCAGTCATCTTGCCTTGGCTTGGTCCACGTGATGCAGCTGGTTAATGAGAGCTGCTCTGAGAGGCCAATGTCCTGGGAAGACAGGAGTTGAGCCTTCCAGAAGGACTGACAAGCTCGTATGCTCTCTAACTTTTGGACCCTGTCTTAAGAGCTGGCCTCTAATGGCATGACTCCTGTTATTTCTGTCTTGACCTAATCTTGTAAGCAATTCTGCTGTGCCCTTTGTGCCCAGAAAGGAAATGCCCACCAGGAACTCCGGTCCTTCACAATCCTGTGTACTCTGCTCATAGTACATTCAGTGTCCAACCATGTGGAAGGAACAATTCTAATTTTTCTCTGCCCTCACGGATCCCCCACTACATTCTCTACTAAACTGTGTGTTTCTTGAAGCCTGTTTAGAACAGCTTAATAGTATTTCCCAAGACAGGTTTGAGGAAATAATGGTAACAGTTAATAAAACAGCAGTAAACATCACTATGCAAAGTACTGACAAGTACTGCACTAAACTCAACTCCTGTAACACAGCTAATGAGACTATAACCAGCTAGTACAGGGTGCTGGTTGGGAGCACAGACTCCACAGCCATCCCGCCTGGGATTGAAGCCGACGTACTGGCTGTGTGATCTTGGGCAGGTCAACCTCTCTGTGCCTCTTTCTTCATTCGGGTTGCTATGAGGATTTAGTGAATTCATGTATGTAAACCACACCTCAAATGGCCCGGCACTGGGCCATGTGAGCCATCGTCATCATCGTCATCACTGGCCGGTGCAAAAGCTGGCTCACCAGTGAAATGAGGCACCTGACAATGCATTTGTCTCTATGCAGCTGGATGCTTTTCCTCGTGGGTGAATTCACACAGCAATTACATTTTTAATACATATTCACTGTATAACAATGCAAAGAATGTTCCTCCTAGGAAGTGTTCGGGATTTTGAAATGTGCATTTCTGAAGCACACATTTGTTTTCTGAGTAGAATCCATTCATCTTCTGGTTGAACAGAAGAAATTACAAATTCACTGACATGCACCGTTTAATAGGGGATGGCATTTTAGATGTGGCTGTAGTTCATCTTGACAGGGCTAATGTAAGGCATTGGAAGCCTGCATGAATTAATTGAAAATCCTATTACAAACCCAGTGACAAATAACTCTATTCACCATTATGGCCTATTTTTCCCCCACCTCAATTAGCTCTGTTTGGCCCACTCTGTCCAACTCCAAGCCAGCCAAATCCATGCACCAAGACACAGACTCAGCACTCTTAGAAACCATTCTGAACTGCTCCTTGAAGAGATCTGTAAAATTCCAAACGGTTCACAATATGGTTCTTTTGTGATACGCTGATGTGGGAACTGAAGGAATTTATTTCTTTACAGATCACTTCCACACACCAGTGGCCTAATGGACTTATTAACTTTTCCACAAAGCAAATCTACATGTTCCCAAAATCATCAAGTATTCTAACGGGACGAGTGGCAAGGAGAATGCTTATCATGGTAACAGTGATATACATTGTGGTTAGCTTAGGGCTACACTCCCGTGATGCAACTGCAAACCCATTAATTCACACAGACTTGCTAAATCTTGACTGCTAAGGTTATTTCCATGACCAACAACCACAGAGAAACAATCATAAAGCTGATGACAATCTAACCCACGAGCAAACATTGTGCATCTGATTGTGTTTTCCTATGTTCTTTTTCAATTAAATTCCAAGAGGCTGGAAAGCCAGTTTCTGTTAAGTTTCCCAAAAGAAGGTTTCCCACATTAAATAAAATGAATTCTACTCTGATTTCAAATCAAGCAAAGTTCAGCGATCTCTGAAAAGACTTATTCCCACACAGACTGCAGATGATTAAGGACAAATGGTGAAACGACTTAGGAGAGCAATAAAAGAACACATTTTCCTTTCGCAACATCTGAAGGATAAGCCAAAACAATCGGTTTGAAGCCCAGGCCTACTCCGGGGCAAAGCACGCCCAGGGTCCACGGAGGCACTGCCTTCTCACTCGTCTCCTCAGAAAGGTCTCAGAGCCGTGTCGTCAGCGGGCCCTCTGCCCTCCACACGCCCTGGGCCGGCTTGCCAAACTGCTCCTTTCTTCTGCACCCTCTCATCAGGCCAGGCCCCCGAGGACCTGCAGGGCTTACATTTCACTTGGAGACTTTCACTTGGCTGCACATGAAAGGGAGGCTTAAAAGGAGCGAAAGCCAGAGAGAAGCCGACTCCGCAGCCTAACCTTGGGTTTGCGGCTGTCATTCACGCTGCCAGCTTCGTCAAAAAGCTTGGCAGTTTAGACAGGCCAAGTATTAGAAGAATTTTGCATCTAAAATGCATTTCAATAAACAGCGACTATTTTGCTCATGTAAAAATCAATGTGACAGTAGACCGGTTTTACATTTCAAGTAACTTCTGTTTCTGAATCACATATCCAGGTTGTCTTGTAAGACATTAAAATCCTCATGTGATCTGCATACCAACATTTTTTATTAAATGCTTTATACCTCCATTTCTTACCATCAAGTGTATTCCAATATGTTGGGCAAAATGCTACTTGATGATCTAGCTGAGATTCTAACAGGTAAATAAAACATCCACTGCCAATTTATTTTATAGACTCTAAATGCCAATGCCCAGATATACATGCAAGACAGCCTCTCTAAATTCAAATTCCTTCATGCATTTCTTACTGCTCCATAAAGTAAAAAAGATTCAATGACCTACTAAAAAGAAAATCTATATAGAAGACACTCTTACAGTGGGAACAGCTATAAAATGTGTATAATTTAATAATTTAGTTATATCTAAATTGGCACAAACTCTGGCTGATTCCAACTTGACTTTCAGAAACTTTCCAGAAAGGACTGAGGCACAAAGAAATCACAGTAATAGAAAATTCCACACAGAGTACCAAGTAGGAAAACGGGTTGAGGAGAGAATCTTTTTTAAATGTCCTTTGTACAAGAAAATACATGTTGGCATTCCCCTACAAAGTAAAATATCTATCAAGATACCCTAACAGAATTTCATGAAAATACTGATTCTTTAACAGTTAAGTCTTAAGTATTGTTCTCAAGACGTCTGGGTCAGATAAT